TGCAGGCAATTTTTCGAGGTCTACATCAAACTTTTGATCTCCTCAGAACAGTGCTTTATCGTAAGGCTTGAGCATGGAATCACAGACTTGCACATTTCATGGTTTGACCTACCAGCCCTGCCACTTCCTTGCAGATAGGTTTCAAGGTTGTATGTATAGCTATAATGCAGAACTGTCTTGACATTCTTGCAATTTATGCCCGTACCATAGGCAATTGTGGCTATCAAGACACTGACTGAACCATTTGGTTCACCCATTGACTCCAAAATATGATCTCTATTGAGATCATCGTTTCTACTGTGAAACATTTCCACACTCCTCTTCGTAGGGTCACCAGAAGTTTCAATGTACATGTCATCACCAAGTTCTGACACATAAATAGAATATCAAAAGGTGGTGACTTTGATTGTCTGGCAATATATGATTTTCCTCTCGGTTGATCCTTTTGCTCCTTTAACTCTTTAACTAATGTCTTAAATGTTTGCACAGGATCAGGGGTGACAACTTGAACAGCATAATTTTTATGTCTGTTTGGGCTCCCCATTATCAGTGCTGGGCTTTTCATTTCAAGAGACCGCATGATCTTGAGTCTTGTCTAAGTAGTTGTTGTAGCAGTCAGTGCAGTTAAAGGCACTTTACTGACAATTGAGCGGTTCTCATTGACCCGGCTAAGCCATTTTCGAAATGCCATTGTTCCTTTTTTCACTGCATAACCCCTATAATGGAAACACACAATAATGTTATGTTAACAGGGGCGTAGCATGGTTTTTCCATTTAGGTACGTAGAAGAAGAAGTAGGAAGTAGTGAAACAACTGCTGAAGGCACAAGCCTCTATGGGGGTCTGGGGGCATGCTCTTAGAAAATGTATATTTTTAGGGTCTCAGAAATGCCATTTCTCAAAGTCAATTAAAGACAAATAAATAAAATATATAGAGATTTTGAGGTATGCCTGTGCATATGTGCATATATGGTCACTACACCCCTGATTGAGTTAAGGTTGTGGATAGCAGTTATTTTCTATTTCAACTTATTTGTATTCTCCATTTCCTTTGCTTCCTTTCCCTAGATATTCATGATCTCAAACATTTAAAATTAGGACACAGGAACTTAGAAATAATCCTAGGCAGAAAATTGTCCTCAGCTGTAATTTTGATCAACAACACATACTGCATGTACATGCTGCATTAAGCAGAGAAGAACTGAAGACCAATTAAATATGTATCCATGTAATTGTAACATGTCTAAGAAATGAAGTATGTCATAAAATAAAAAAGTCGTGTTGGACTTCTTGTAATATATGTTTAAATAAAATAAAGTGAGAGAGGAAATTGGACCTAGCACTGCATCCGATTATGACATACCACATGTAAGTCTCAAACACTCTACACAGCTAGATTATCTCATCCTAATTTTCAATTTGAAAGAGTATTTAAGCTCACATCTTAAAAATAAGCTATTTTACAATTCAAAAGGACGAGAGTAAAAGTACAGAGGGAAACGTGATATGGTGAATAGTCTTACCTGTGAGAAATCGGTGAGCTTCATCAGCTGCAACCAAACACAATCTCTTGTTGTAAGCATCATTGCTGAGCATTGCCTGCCATCTTTTGGTAGATAAAAATGCCTCGGGTGAGCCATACACAATTTGGCAGTCCCCACGTTCCACCTGTTGATTGGCCTCTTTGCTTTCCTGTTCGTCCCCAGTAAATTTGGCCTTGATTCCCACAGACCTAAGGTACCACACTTGGTCTTGCATAATAGGTCTAGGGAGAAATCACAAGTTGGATCGACTTCATACTTGACAAAGGTCTTACTGTGTTAAAGACAATTGGTGCAGCCTGAAAAATCAATGATTTTCCAGACCCCGTTGTTTGACTAATGAACACATCTTGACCTTAACTTGGTTTTGCAGTGTCCATCGCTGAGAATCTTTCAAATTTTCAGATTTAAAGGACTCAAAAATTTGCTTGAAGGCCAAATTCATCTTCTCGACGTTGTCCTCCATTTTGTCAACTCTGTTTTAATGTGATATTTACTAATTTTCAGTCTCTAGGAATGCTAGTCACATCGTGTTTTCTTTTTAACTTTTCGACGATGTTGTTTAATCAGCTTCCCAAAGACGTGATTTTATGCATGTCTAGTTTTATTTTGTTTCATCTCATTCGAAGAACCATCTCTCTTGTTTGCAAAAAGTGGTACAGGATTTCTGAAGATCCGTCGATTGTGAGAAAGGCTCCCAGCGAAAATTTTGAGTCAATTCGATTGCATGAATGTCTTACCTTCATGCAGTTGAACAATGTCGTCGAAACAGTTATATGGGTTCGCACAGCAAAGACAGAGGTCCATTACCTGAGGGGGTTCTAATGCTCATCTCAGGGGAATAAACGAGACTGACCCCAAATGAAAACTTGGACATTCTGTGTGGTAGCTTTCTGGTAGAAATTAGACTTTGAAGATACGCTATTGAAAGCCACCGCCGGCCGCCATTTTGCTTTTTAGCCGAGGACCCCAAGAAAATGAAAACATACAAATAAACTACTTCGAACACCTTTACAAGCCAAAACATATTTTCAAAGTAGACTTAAGCTGATTTTTTTTAGAGATGATTGTAATATTAAATGTAAGTTGGAAGGTTTTTGGTGGATTTTGGACAGAATTAAGACTCAAAATTTAGCTGTAACGAAAGCTCTGTAGAGAGTTACATTTAAAGTGTTGTTTCTAGAGGTCATTACAAATTAGATCAGAAATTGTGTTTGTTTATCTATATTTATCTGTATTTTTTAAATATTCTTTATGCTTTCCCTTGCCCTTAACTCCTATAAGCAATAGGTACACTGTATGTCAATATATACACTCCGTCCTGAGTTTAGTCTTCAGAACTCAACTTAGTGTTTTAAAATGTTAATATTTTAGCGATACAACTTGTGATATCTAAGCAATTGTTCATTTTCAATTCATTTAGGTGCTGTAAATAAAAATTGGCTTGCACGCATGATTAGAAAAAGGTTAATATTGCGTAATATATGGGTAATAACTGAGTAAACATTATTTTACATCAGCGGTGGAATTTGGCTGCAGCTAGAACCAAACATGCTAATGCATGAAGCTTTAATGTGATTTCCTGATTTCGGGATGCTGCACTTATGAAAGAATTCCAGAACCAACACCCCCACCCCCACAGTACTCAGGGATGTCCTTTTTTATTACACTTGGTCACTGATTAGGTGACGAAGCATTTGGCCATTCCATCATTGACTCCTTGAGTCTCAGTCATGTTGCTTTTCTACTGTGACGCGATGGAGCAAGCTATTCGCAAGCGACAAATATAACGCCACTCTCACTATCCGTTCTTACTTTTCCCTCCAGGTTTGATGATATTGCTCTTTTGATGTTAATATGGAACTTTCACTTAGCCAGCGAATGTTCCAAGAGGTCACATTGGGTAGCTCAGTACCATCATCTGGTCCTAATGGTGAAGGTCTAGCGCCAGAATTGATTGACTATCCACATCCCACACTCAAGAGTCACAGATGATATAAGACTTAAGAATGAGGCGCTCAGTCCTAGTGCCCATATAGCCTTGAAAGGATATACTCCTAGGCCCGAAGCATGATTGGGCCCACTCTTGTAGGCTGTTTGATTGCAGTAAGAGAGTCATGATTACTCCCACCGTTTACCCGCACTTGAATAAAAGCGCTTACCCGTCCGTTTAAGCCAGAGGGTGGTCATGTGATGCTCTGCTGTCTCCAAGGTTCTCTTCCGACATCCCTCTTGATGTCTTGCTTCAGGACAAGGATCAAATTCACCCCGCCCCGCTGAAGTTGCATTCTACTACCATAAGTGCCACGAGTGGATTGTTGGCTTGATTACATGGGTATGGGATAAGCACATGATTTAAAGTTTGTTCATTGATTACCTTCAGCACAAATTCCGTCTCGATCTCTTTAAATCATAGGTTATAACTGATCCCATGAATGCACTTGTTTATCAGTCTAACCTCTAGAAACTGCTGGAAAAAGTTCATTTGTCGCTTTCCGCATTGGAATGGTGCAAAAGGCCTTAAAAGGTACCTAGCAATTTCGAGAGTCAGCCACTTGTAACAGAGATTCTTCTCCTCGGATTGCCATGGCAGTTCAATGGAATGAGAAATTTCTCTACATTTAAAACGGCTTTTGTCTCATTTGGTTGGGCGCATTAAGTTACGGCATTAAAGCTGGAAGTTATCTAGAAGGTGGATGGATATACAAGCACATTATTTCGCTGATAATTAAAAAATACCAATTCTATTAGGGCCTGTTTACAAGGAGGGAAGGTAACCCTGATAGAAAGAGGGTCAAACCAGCACTGGCTTATTATTTCTAAGCGACATGTTTACAAAGCATGCAGATAGGGTTTTCCTAGCGCTAGGGTAACCCAGGGTTCGAAAATACGCCCAATTTGCCGTATGTTACGCCAAAATTGTTCAAATGACTCCACTGAGGTTATGGAGGGATTCACTTTGACTCCAGAAATATTCAGTAACAAACATAGTTTTGTCGTTACCTTTTTCGCAACAAGTACAATTTACGTTAATTGTAAATGTTGTAAACCTCAAATTAAATCATCACAATTAAAGAATTATACTGCACGACAAAACAGGAAGAGGATAAATTATGATCAAAGGCCATCATGGATTTGAGCTTTCCAGGTCAGCGGACCGCCACAGCTACTTTGTGTATCCCTCACAATAGTGTATACATGCCAGGACCACGTGCTGGAAAGTCTGTTTGGCTTTTTTCGTTGTGATACTTGACTCCAAATATTCCAAAATGACTCCAAAATTTGTGAAGCACACGTCACACTGACTCCACTCATCAATAAAACTTGCAAACCCTGCGGTAACCCCAGCAAGAGGGTTACCCTACATGTACCTGCCTTGTGAATGCTCTGCTAAGGGATAACTGAAGACCAGTAACTCATGAAAATTGAATGGGTTAACCAAGTTTTCTTGCTAAATTTTAAAAATCTGAACAATATTATGTATTTTATTTATACAATGATAATACCTGTTTGTTTTTTTCCATACAACGTGTTTAACACGGGAGAATTCAACATTTCCTTCAAATCTTGGACGTTACAAGGAATGTCAGTTTAGTCTTCACATGACGAAACATTTCAGTTGAGCTGGTTGACTCGTTTGACTTGTGTCGGCTTCCTGGGAAATTTTGCTTTTAACCAGAGTTACCTTGAACCCTCTTGCTAGGGTAACCCTAGCACTGGGGTTACCCTCCCTCTTTGATACAATTCTCAACAAGTTTTTGTATCGGAATTTTGTTACTTCCACGCCCATTTTCCGCCTCTGCGTTGTCTGCCAGTACATCCACAGTTCCTTACTTCTTTAACTATAAAGTCTAAGACCCTGAGATTTGATATTAAAGTGTCACTGAAAGAATACACAGCATTAGTAAACCTTCTCTGTCCCTTAATTGTTTCCGGACGTTGTTGGTTGCATCACTACTATGTGCACAATTGCGTTATTGGAAGAATGACATCTTGCCTCACTGCTTATCAAATCCTTAGCACAGATGCCAGAAATCTCAGCAGCAATAGAACTCATGTTAGTGTTCACTTTCAGGTGCAACGAAGTGCTTTTTCTTGCCCTTCATCTGCCCTAATGCTTTAACGTTATGCAATGTCTTCTGTGTTGTACTTGTAGTTTGGTACTATACACAGGTGATTGAGGGTAATCCTGTTCACCTGTTGATATCAAGAAGTAAACAGTCAAATTCTAGATCTGGCAGATAAACACTTGGAAGTGCGAACCCAGGGCTCGAATTTAATTTTTGGATCACCAACCCTTCGGGTTAGTAGACATATTTTTGACTAACCAAATTATAAAGTTTGGTATCCAAGCTCACAACTAAAAAATCTTGACAATCTTGAAATCTCAAACATTGAACAGTTTGTCAATAACCACTAGAACAAATTAAAAGGTAGTCGAAATTGCATGGTGACCTTAAAAAACTTTGACAATTAAGTGCCTAGTTTATTTTCCTCTCGTTTCCCTTGAAGAGACCAGCATGATTTAGGTAGTGAAGAACAGTACATCTTCAGCACATTCTCTAACGACAGTTTGAGTTGAATGATTCAACAAATTGAGTATTCTAAGTATTCCTTGTAAAGTCTGGTCTACGTGCTCTTTGTCCTGATATCCACCAATGTTGAATAGCTCTCTGGGGGATCATATACATCAAATGAACAACCATTGACTGTTATCCTTAGCAGCATGTTGAGAATGTCTGTGTCAAGACAGGATCTCCAATCATTCTTCACTCTCTTCATTGCTGAAAATCCTCGCTCCACAGTTGCTGTTGCAAGTGGCAGGATGATTATTATTTCCACAAGCATCAAGATGTTGGGAAATTGATCCTTGAAGGCAGTAAACATTCTCTGCCATAAAATAAGGGGATCTAAATGCCTGAAATTGTTTGCAGTTACACAAGCCTTCAGAGCACTCCACTCTCCAGCTACAGCTGCAAAGTAAAAATCATTCCTCTCCAAAGCTGGTCTAAAATGCTGAACCAAGCACTCCACTTCTGCCTCCCCATATGTTGCTAGGTCTTCTACAGATTCTGGCCAAACCCTGGGATCAAAAATCTTCCCAGCTGCAAGAACTGGATCTGAATCCAGGCTTTCAAATCTAGAATTCAAAAACTGGATGATTGTGTTGATAATCCTCTGTTTGTCCCTGATAAAAGCATTCAAGTCATTGGGCATTCTCTTGAGAGTTACACCTTTGTAAATGTTACCATCTCCCACTCCATCAAGAAAATCTTGCAAGTTCTTTCCAGGTCTGGCAATCATTGCTCTAAGCTGCAGTTCTGTAGAGTAAAGACCATCCTTTGCAGCAGATATAACAATGTTATCTCTCTGGAAGAGCAAGCTTAGAGCCTTCAATACTGCCAGAACATCAAGCATTAAGTGAATGAATAGGAGATTTCTAAAATTGCTTAACACATTTCATGT